CAGACACTGCTTTACTTTATGATTTATCACATTTTCTGAATTCCTCAATACTGAATTCTATCTTCTATTCATAATAAAGCACACCAGCAAATGGAAACCATAGTCGTAGATAGTGGATCCAGCCACACTATCTTAAGAAACAAAAGTTACTTCATAAACCTAACCTATCAAACCGCAAATATTAGCACCATCGCGGGTCCCTCAAACCTTATCGAAGGATATGGCCATGCCTATGTGTTGCTATCAAATGGCACACAACTTGAAATACCAGATGCTCTATATTCTCCTAGTTCGAAGAGAAATCTTCTGAGCTTCAAGGATATAAGACAGAATGGTTTCCACATAGAAACCCAAGGTCAAGGGAACAAAGAATCCCTCATAGTCACTAAAACCGTAGACGGCCATAAACAAATCCTCGAAACCATACCCGCGCTCTCTACTGGACTTTACCATGCTAAAGTCAGTATGATTGAAGCTAATACCACTCTCAAAGCCCGGTTTACTGATTATACTATTTGGCACGACCGGCTCGGTCATCCCGGTGCAAATATGATGCGTAAACTAATTCAAAACTCTCAAGGGCATACCCTCAAAGAAAACCGAGCTTATCCTCAACACCTCATGTGCACAGCTTGTTCTCAAGGCAAATTGATCACTCGGCCTTCACCAGTTAAAATCTCTAAACAAACACTTCATTTCCTAGAAAGAATCCAGGGTGATATCTGTGGACCTATACATCCATCTTCCGGACCATTCCGGTACTTCATGGTCCTTATAGACGCATCGACCCGTTGGTCATATGTTTGTCTCTTGTCCTCTCGGAACCAAGCCTTCGCTAGGTTCTTGGCCCAAATCATAAAATTGCGGGCCCATTTCCCTGACTTTCCACTAAAGACTATCCGCCTTGACAATGCTGGTGAATTTACCTCACAAGCGTTTAATGACTACTGTATGGCCATAGGGGTAACCGTGGAACATCCTGTAGCACATGTCCATACTCAAAATGGATTGGCTGAATCATTCAATGGATAGCCCGACCATTACTCATGAGATCAAAGCTCCCGGCCTCAGCATGGGGACATGCAGTATTACATGCTGCTGAACTCATACGCATCCGGCCATCTAGTGAACACAAATATTTCCCATCCCAACTACTCTCGGGTCATTAGCCAGACATCTCCCATCTCAAAACATTTGGGTGTTCAGTATATGTACCCATTGCTCCACCACATCGAACCAAAATGGGACCTCAAAGAAGGATGGGAATATATGTTGGTTTTGACTCTCCCACCATCATAAGATATCTCGAGCCAACCACTGGAGATCTCTTCAAGGCCAGATATGCGGATTGCCAATTCGATGAATCGGTATATCCCTCTTTAGGTGGTGAGACAAACAAGCTGGTCAAAGATCTTTCATGGAATCAAACATCATTAAATTGGCAAGATCCTCGGACTCTAGAATGTGATTCAGAGATCCAAAAGATTATTCATTACCAAAAGCTAGCTAATCAATTGCCAGATTCCTTTGCTGACCCGACCAAAGTAACCAAATCGTACATCCCAGCTTGTAATGCACCAGTACGAATAGCTGTCCCAACGGGACAGACCCAAGTTGCTACAGAGTCTGCACCACGTCTCAAATGGGGCAGACCTCTCGGTTCCAAAGATAAGAATCCCCGGAAATCAAAGAAAGGTGCAATAACCGAAACCGGGATTCCTGCAATATCAGACATAGCCGCGGCTGAGACTCAATCTAATGAACCCTCAATGGAAGTTCGGGACGCCGAATCTCCAGGTTCAGAAGATAACAATGAGATCTCCATCAATTACAATATGTCCGGAATACAATGGAATCGAAAAGAAGTCGACTTAAATGCACTCTTTGCATACAAAGTAGCACTTGATGTTGCGCTCACGCAAGAGGATCTAGAACCCACGTCAATAACACAGTGTACACATCGAACAGATTGGCTAAAATGGAAAGAAGCCATAAACGTGGAGTTAAAGAGTCTCAAACTCAGAAACGTGTTCGGTCCGATCATCCGGACCCCATCACACATCAAGCCAGTGGGCCACAAATGGGTCTTTGTGCGCAAAAGGAACGAACTCGGTGAAGTCGTTCGATACAAAGCACGGCTTGTAGCACAAGGATTCTCACAGAGACCCGGAATCGATTATGAGGAGACTTATTCTCCAGTGGTGGATGCAACAACATTCCGATTCCTCATAAGTCTGGCCATAAGAGAAAATCTTGATCTGCGGTTAATGGATGTTGTAACCGCATATCTCTATGGGCCCCTGGACAACGAAATATATATGAGACTCCCAGATGGCATTGAACTAAAAGACAAAAATGCATCTCGAGATCAATACTGCATCAGGCTGAACAAATCCTTGTATGGACTGAAACAAAGTGGGCGTATGTGGTACAACCGCCTCAGCGATTACCTCATCAAAGAAGGCTACAAAAATGACCCCATCAGTCCATGCATCTTCATCAAGAAGTACTCAAACAAAGGATTTGTAATCATAGCAGTATACGTGGATGATCTAAACATCCTCGGAACATCTGGTGAGATCTCCCAAACAGTCGACTGCTTAAAAGCAGAATTCGAAATGAAAGACCTAGGCAAAACAAAATACTGTTTGGGATTACAACTTGAGTACATCAAAGGAGGAATCCTTGTGCATCAATCGGCTTATATCGAAAAGGTACTCAAGCGATTTAATATGGACCAAGCTCACCCATTGACCAGCCCAATGGTAGTTAGAAGCTTAAGTGATGACCCTCTTGGTCCCAAAAAGGATGATGAAGAAATCCTTGGTCCTGAAAAGCCATACCTCAGTGCTGTAGGAGCGTTAATGTACCTGGCTAGTCACACTAGACCAGACATATGTTTCGCCGTGAACCTCCTCGCTCGATATAGTTCATCTCCAACTCAGAGGCACTGGAACGGTATAAAACATCTCCTAAGATACCTTCGAGGTACTCAAGACTTAGGACTCTTCTATACTAACCAAAATAAAGATGGGTTAGTCGGCTTCGTCGATGCAGGATATCTATCAGATCCGCACACTGCCAAGTCTCAAACTGGCTACGTTTTTACGCATGGAGGAACAGCCATCTCTTGGAGATCAATGAAGCAGACACTCACTGCCACTTCATCAAACCATGCTGAAATCCTAGCCATTCATGAGGCTAGTAGGGAATGCGTCTGGCTGCGCTCCATGACTCAGCACATCCGCAGAGATTGTGGTATGGACGAAGACACACAGCCCACGGTGATGTATGAAGACAACGCGGCATGCATAGCTCAGCTCAAGGAAGGATATATCAAAGGAGATCGGACGAAGCACATTCTACCGAAGTTCTTCTCAACCTCAGACTGGCAGAAGGACGGCACTCTCAGCGTTCAGCAGGTCCGATCCAGTGAGAATTCAGCTGACCTCTTCACCAAATCATTGCCTACTTCAACACACCGGAAGCTCGTCAAACAGATAGGAATGTATAGACTTAGAGATCTGCAGTGATGCTACAATCAGGGGGAGTAATGCGTGTTGTACTCTTTTTCCTTCACCATGGTTTTGTCCCACTGGGTTTTTCCTGGTAAGGTTTTAATGAGGCAACATTCCCCAGCGCATTATCGAGATCCCGATTGAGTAGCTGACCCAGTTCACTCGTCCAAGGGGGAGTGTTATAACACATATCATATATGGACTCTTATACCGGCCCATTAGGCCCATCAGGGCATTGTACTTAACCTAGATTCCCTATGTACTCTATATATACATTCCAGTGATTAATAAAGTTTCTAAGTTTTCACAACAGTACTTACATTATCATAAAACAATGTTACTTAATTTTTTTAGAGTTATGTTTTTCGGAGGACAAGGAAATGTTAACGCTTTTTATACAAATTTAAAAATCCTTTTACCAAAAAAAAAAAAATTTAAAATCTTAAATCTCATAAGAATTTAGTTTTTTTTTATATATCATGGCACAACAACAAATTCTCCCAACACGTATGTTGATTCTATGTAACTATGTTAAAAGTAATAATTTCAGGTTATCCGTATATCTACCTCTTCCCCACTTCAATAGGAAAGTGCAAGCAAGTTTTTTCGAGTCTTTTGGCGACATAAATTTAAAACCGACCGAGGAACTTTACTTTTGTAAAAGTGAGATTGTGCACATAGGAAATAGAAAGTTGATAATTGGAAATTTTATAATTTATTACTAAATTAAAATATAAAAAACCACCGCTTGGTCTCACCACTCAAGTTCGAACGTATGGCTTGTGGGCACAAACTCCTGTACTAACCTTTAGATACTAGCGGCACGAGGGGAGTTCTATTTTATGCGGTTTTTATTTTTTGATCAATTAGAAATGTGTGTGATCAATTTATTTGGTTTTTAATTTTATTTTGAACACCAAGACCAGTGTCTTCTCTTCAAAACATTGTCTTACAAAAAGAGAGAAATTCAATTTCTAAAATCGAGCTTTAAATGTTCTAAACATTGATGAGCACAACATTTTTGTCAATATTGTCACAAATTTAAACGTTTGCTTTTTGTCTTCTTTGAAAAATCAAATGCTGAAAAACTGTTACAACTCTCTCCTTTTCTTAAAAAAACTCTCGTCTCTCTCCTTTTCTTCTTGCTGAGTTAATTGAATGCTGCAAAAGAGAAATAGAATAACTTAAAACAAAATTTGCACTTATCGACCAGAAAAAGGGTTCAATTCAATGTAATCTACCTATTTATACTATTTTAAAATTAATTTATAGTAGTGAAAAAAACCTTCCATATATATCATGGAACAAACTGGAACACACATGGGCCTCTCTTATTTAAGTTATTTTCTTCTTCGGGTGATTTTTAATAATGTTTCTTATATAGTTTTATAATAATATTATTGCTTTTAGTATCTCTCCATAATCGTCAAAATAAAAGAAAGAGAGTCTTCTTGTATTTATCCTTCCTCAGAGTAACCCAAACGGTTTTTGATTAGATATTGGCCTGTTCATATGTTCTTCCTCTCTAGAAACATAAACCTCTTTCATTAGAAAAAAAGGACCAATCTCTGTGAACAAAATACATCCCTTGTACTTCAGATCTACAAGCAAAATTCGTACCATATTACAATTTGTGTTTGTTTATCTGAAGTTTATGGGAATAGCTTTAGTCGGATCTATTCATATGTTGTGGATCCTCTTTTTTCTCTTTATGTAATCTTAACCTCATCATCAAGTTTTGATTCTCAGAAGGTTATATAATACTTTGTAAGATTATATATGTGTATATGTATGGAGATGGATAGCCAGATAGTTTATGTTGTTTGAGGATTAGATTTAAAGCCAAGTTGGGTAATCTTTCCTTTTTTCTTGCCTCCTCATTCACATACAAACCCTATCTATCCGTACAAAATACTAAAAAACCCTAACTTTCCCTCTCTCTTATCATTTCTACTTCCACGAGAAAGGATTATACACGGATCCATCACACCGATGAAAAGCTTGCATGTGACGGCCAACGGCGGAGATCTGGCGGAGAACTGTGGAATACTCGCCGGAGACGCTGATGATGCTGTTTTGATGGATGGAATGGATGGGGTCAGTAGAGAGATCTGGCTAGATGACCATGGAGGAGACAATAACCATCATCATGGTCATGGTCATCATGAAGATGATGATTTGATTGTTCATCATGACCCATCAATCTTCTACGGAGATCTACCAACGCTTCCTGATTTCCCATGCATGTCGTCATCATCATCGTCTTCAACATCTCCGGCTCCTGTCAACGCAATAGTCTCCTCAGCTTCTTCCTCCTCCGCAGCTTCTTCCTCAACTTCCTCCGCTGCTTCTTGGGCTATATTGAGATCAGACGGTGAAGATCCGGCTCATAACCAAAACCAATACGGATCAGGAAACTGTGATGTAGAGTCTTCTGCCGCCGCATTGCAATCCACTGCTTCCATGGAGATTCCGTTAGAGAACAGTCAAGGCTTCGGTTGCGGCGAAGGTGGTGGTGATTGCATTGATATGATGGACACTTTTGGCTACATGGATCTACTCGATAGCAACGAGTTCTTTGATACATCAGCCATCTTTAGCCAAGACGACGACACGCAAAACCCTAACTTGATGGACCAAACGCTCGAGAGACAAGACCAGATGGTTATTCCGATGATGGAGAACTATAACAACAGTGGAGGAGACGACATGCAAATGATGAATTCGTCTTTGGAACAAGACGATGATCTTGCGAGTGTGTTTCTTGAGTGGCTCAAAAACAACAAGGAGACTGTGTCGGCTGAGGATTTGAGGAAAGTGAAGATCAAGAAAGCGACGATTGAGTCGGCTGCGAGAAGGCTAGGCGGTGGTAAAGAAGCGATGAAACAGCTTTTGAAGCTGATTCTTGAATGGGTCCAAACGAATCATCTACAAAGAAGACGCACCAACACAAGCAACAATCTCTCTTATCAACAGTCATACCAACAAGACCCTTTTCAAAACCCTAACCCTAATCACAACAACAGTATAATCCCACCGTCTGACCAAACATGTTTCTCACCTTCCACATGGGTTCCTCCTCCACAGCCACCACAACAACCGGCTTTTGTCTCGGATCCAGGTTTTGGATACATGCCTGCTCCGAACTATCCACCACCACCGGAGTATCTTCCTTTACTTGAATCTCCACCGTCATGGCCACCGCCACAGTCTGGTCCCATGCCACATCAGCAGTTCGCTATGCCTCCAAACTCGCCGTATAGTCCATTTCAAGACCCTGGAGGTGGTTTTAACGGATACAACATGAATCCTTATCAATATCCTTATCTTCCTTCCGGACAAATAAGAGACCAGAGGTTGCTGCGTTTGTGTTCCTCAGCAACTAAAGAGGCAAGAAAGAAAAGGATGGCGAGACAGAGGAGGTTCTTGTCTCACCACCATAGACATACCAACAACAACAATAATCCAAACCAGGCTCAACTCGGAGAAACCTGTCCTGTGGTGGCTCCACAACTTAATCCGGTGGCTGCAACTGCTACCGGCGGGACTTGGATGTATTGGCCTAATGTTCCGGCTGTGCCACCTCCGGGAGCAGCTCAGTTACCGGCGATGGAGACTCAATTACCACCCATGGACCGAGCTGGCTCTGTTTCTGCTATGCCACGTCAGCAGGTGGTGCCAGATCGCCGGCAGGTACGGTACATGCAAAATCATCCTTCTCATTGTTAAGATTTTAACAACATGCAAAAAGAGTTGTGTAATTGCACCAATCGTTGATTGTTGAAGAAGATGATTGATGATTATGTTTGCAATGGAAAATGAAATGACTTTGATTTTGATTTTGGGTTTGTTTTTGATTCATTTTTAGGGATGGAAACCAGAAAAGAATTTGCGGTTTCTATTGCAGAAAGTCTTGAAGCAAAGCGACGTGGGTAATCTCGGAAGAATCGTCTTGCCAAAAGTAATTAACTTCGAATTGCTTGTACACTTTGTTTTCCTTTTTTTTCCTATATTTTTTTTTCTTTAGTTTCTTTGTTAAATGTAAATATATTTGGTAATTTTTGTTAGTTTCACTCTCTTGCTTAATTTTAATTTTTACTGAATTTATAAAAAAAATGTGAGACAGAAAGAAGCTGAGACGCACTTGCCGGAGCTAGAGGCAAGAGACGGCATCTCTCTCGCCATGGAAGACATTGGAACCTCTCGTGTTTGGAACATGCGCTATAGGTAATTACATTAATCAATGAACTTGTTAGTGTTTAATTAATGTATACAATGATCATGTATTTGTCAAGAATTGGAACTCGACCAATCTTTGGTAAGTTCAATTTTCTTCTTTATATGAGTTGCAGATTTTGGCCTAACAACAAAAGCAGGATGTATCTCCTCGAGAACACCGGTACGATTTTGAAAACATAACACACATTAATACATTTTCATTTCTTTAAATCGTTTTTTGTTTTTTGATTTATCTATTTTTTTTCTAATTTCCTTGACATTTTGCAGGCGATTTTGTGAAAACAAATGGGCTCCAAGAAGGTGACTTCATAGTCATATATTCCGATGTCAAGTGTGGAAAATACGTAAGACAAAAAAAAAAAACACATCACGTTTTCGTCTTCTTTGATTCAATTTCAATATATTCACTCTCTCATCATTAATTAAATTTTCTTATATTATGACAGTTGATACGAGGGGTTAAAGTAAGACAACCGGCGGGACAAAAGCCGGAGACTCCACCGTCGTCAGCAGCTGCGACGAAGAGACAAAGCAAGTCGCAAAGGAGCATTCACAACAACTCTCCGTCGGCGATTGTGCTCGCGACTTCACCAACTTCTCAAACTGTTAAATGAAAAAAAATATATATATAAATATATTATTATTATATGTAACAAATAATAAAGAGGCGAAAAAAAGGAAAAATGGCAGCGTATCTAAGTGTGCCACTACTCGTGCATGCATGGGATCTCTTAGACAAATGGACAGTCATGATTAAAGGCAAGTTTTTGGTCGAGGTCCAGGTTTTTACTCCATTTTTTGCTTTTTCTTTCTCGAGTCCTTTTAACTCTCTTTTTTTTGGGTCTTTTACCGTCTGGATATTGTAGAGATGATTAATTCTGGAAATGGTGGTTTGTGTTATATTCAAGGAGAGATGATTACAGTTTCTTTGTTGTTGTAATTTTTTTATTCTACGTATTAAGCTCATTTCTAATAGTTGAGCTTACATATATGTGAATGTTTTGTGAGTATAAATGTGTTTTATGGATACTAATAAATAATAATAAAATGTTAATGTTCGTAGTTATTCTTATTCGCAAAGAGTCTTTACGTCATTTGTTAGACTTGTATGAAAGGAAAGTTATACTTATAGTTATACTTAATATTCTTGTTAGTTATACGTCATTTCGATTAGCAATAGTATTTTTGATTTCTTATGTAGTTAGAGCATGTCGAGTAGGGGTTCATCCCCATGCAAAATGCAATTAAAAAAAAAGGAAAAAAGCTCATATTCGACGGATCGGTTCATCCGGTTGAACCTGATGAATCCATCTCTTATCTACGTAATTTGAGGGGATTGGAGGAAAATTGAGGTAATTTTGGATGAGGAAAAAAAATTATCGGCCCAATATTTATTTCTCTTTCCCCGATATTTTTTTTTCTTTCTCTCGTTTCCTTCTCTGGCGATTCAAGAGAATCCGTCGATTATGTTCAAACCGGCGAATTTTTCTGGTGGGTTGGTAATCCTAGCATCGCGCTTCCGTCTCATCGTCAAGGTAATCCTTTGGTCTTCAGTTCTCGGTTTATTTTTAACGAATTCGTAGGATTAGGGTTTCGTATATTTGGGGAAAAACTGGAAATCCAAAATCGGTGTTTTTTTGGGGATTTTGGGTGGATTACGGATGCTTGCCTCTTATTTGATACCCGTAATCGATTTTCTGTATGGTATTTGACTGATTTCCATGAAATTCAAATCGATGAAATTAGGGTTTTTTGAGATAGGGAAAAATTTTGGGGCTTTTCTTTCGGGGTTGCAATTTGGGTAGAAAACATGGTTTTTGTTTCGGTTTAGCTCTATTTCGGATTGGATTGCATGGTTGATGATATATGTGATGGATTTATATGCGATGAAATTAGGGTTTTCTGAAATTTGGGGAAAATTTTGTGTGCCTTTATTTTGGGGTTTCATTTGCGGTTTACTACAGTGAAATACATGTGCTTTAACTCTATTACAAATTCGCTTGCATGGTTGATGATATAATTGTTCAATTTTTATGCGATGGGTTAATGGTTTCTTCCATTTGCATCATTCGGGTTTAGGTTTAGAGGGTATATCGATGATGATTCATATATGTAGTATGATTTGCTGTTTGAAATATGTGATCTTATTTGATTTATGTGAGTTGCATCATTCGGGTTTAGGTTTAGAGGCTTTATCGATGATGATTCATATATGTGATATGATTTGGTGTTTATAATATGTGATATTATTTGATATATGTGCTTTGCATCATTCGGGTGTATGGTTTCTGTTATATGATTTGATCATCTTGCCTTTTGCCATTGTCGATGTTAAGTAGTTATCGATGATGATGTTGTTATTGATCATGTTTTGTTTATCGACAGATAATGCCATCTTACAGCTGCAGATCTTCTGAAGAAGAGGTCTCGTACTGGGCATACGCCGATGCCACTTATAGCATACCGGAGAAGTGCTTCTGTGGTCGTATTGTGAAGCTTCAAACCGACGCTTCCGGTCGCAAGTACTATTCTTGCCCGGAATGGATTGACGAGGTTTGCTTTCTATCTTTGTCATTCATCTATTTCTTTATTTGAAGTTGTATTTTTATGTTTCAAATAACTTACTGTTTTTAATGGTTGTAGGGCACCTTTGACCACATTCACCAATGGTGGGATCACGCGGTAACCAAACAATGCGAAATCCTCGCCACAAGGATAGAAAATCAGGAGGATCTCATCCGCAGTGTTCATTGCGGTAGAGTCCACTCTGTGGATCCCTCATTAGGAGACGTCCGTGAAGAGTTAGCAAGGCTGCAGTCCGAAGTCAGGGTTTTGAAGGACGAGCTTGATAACCGAGGTGACACTATCTTGAAGCTCTTATTTGTTTGTGTCATTGCTGCTACTGCTTACATCTTTAGGATTTAGAAATTGCATCACTGATGCATTCGTTAATGTTACTTTTAGTACTTAACTTCGGCTTATATCTTGTTATGTTTTTTTGTGAGGAAAATTTGGACTCTGCGGAAATGGTAGTTGAGGGCATATGGAACCGACCGTGTGAAGGTTAGTTCTTTTCAAACTTGAATGCTTGTTAAGTTGTTCTCTGTTAGTTCATTTGAAACTTGAATGTATGGTTAATTGTTCAAACTGGTAGTTTAGGACTGTACTTTCGTTATCAATGCTTGATAGGACAGGATAGGTTTACGTCTTGTGTTAAATGGTAGTACAAACCTGTTTGACAATGTTTACTAATTCATCGAGAACTTGAAATCTCATTTTAAAAGACTCCCAACTACTAATTCATTAAACGTAAAAGACACTTAGCCATAAATACACAAAAAAGACTGTCAACCATAATTTTAAAAGACACTCACCAACAAATTTAACTCTCTTTAACTCTCTCTTTTCACACTTAACCTCTCTTCTCTCATTAACACTCTTTCACAATAAACCTCTCATCACTCTGTTCAATTCCTTCTCGCCTTCCATTATCTTTTTAAACCTTGTACTCTCTTTCACTCTTTTCTCTTTTTGTGATCTAATTCTCTCGCTTGACTTCTTGTTTCACTCTTGCACTCTCGAGGTTCTTTTATCTCTTTTTGTCTTCTTCAACTCGTCAAACTCGTTCAACCTCGTTTCAATCTTTATGGCCTCTCAGAACTCGTTCACACAGTCCGAAGGGTTTGTAAACCTCCTAAACATTCAGTTAAACACTGACTCTTACTCACCGTGCATAGAATTGGGATCATCAGATATTCCTTTGTTTAGTACACAAGGATCTGATGATCCTGCTGAATCTGCTCTGAAGAGAAAAGCCTGGTCGCCTAAGGAAGACTTGATCCTCATTAGTTTGTGGCTCAACACCAGCAAGGACCCCATTGTCGGTAATGAACAGCGAGCTAGAGCATTTTGGAAGCGTATTCAGGTGTATTACAACAACAGCAAAGATCTAGTTGGGCTGCCAAGAAGAGAGTGGTCTCAATATAAACAGCGATGGGGAAGGATCAATGATCAGGTGTGTAAGTTTGTAGGATCTTATGCGGCTGCGCAGAAGGAGAAAAGAAGCGGTCAGAATGAGAACGACGTGATGAAGCTGGCGCATGAGATCTTTTTCAACGACTACTCCATTAAGTTTGCTGTGGAACATGCCTGGAGAGAGTTGCGGTTCGACCAGAAATGGTGCACAACTAGCAAAGTCCAAGACGGTGCCTCAACAAAAAGAAGAAAGGTTGAAGACTCGGCTCAGTCATCAACCTCCATACATGCAAGCGAGAATGAAGATGTGGTGGAGGGTCGTCCACCTGGAGTGAAGGCGGCGAAGGCCAAAGCAAAACAGTCAGGACGTGGTAAATCCGACAACAGGGACATGAAAGAGTTTTCTTCCATGTGGGAAATGAAACAAAGGGATCTAGAGTTGAAAGATAAGATAAGAGACAAGAGGATTCTTGAGAATCTTTTGGCTAAGAAAGAGCCGCTAACTGAGATTGAAATGGCACTCAAGAACAAGCTAATTTGTGCTATGTATGATCTTTAGGGTATGAACTCTGTTATTCACTTTGTTTTAGATCTAGTTTCTATGTTATTGCTTCATCAGGTTTGTATGCTATTTAGATAATAAATTTTGATTTGCTATGGGTCTTAGACTTGTTGCATTTACTGGTTTGGGTTGTGTGATTTTTAGATAATGAAGTCTTGTATTTAAACTCTTGTCATCTTTGATATATCAAAGTGTCGACTATGTGTTGCTTTGTTGTTTTATCACAGCCACATATGTCTAATTCTATTTACGTTTTTTTTTTCAGGTACTGTCACTGCAACTTGGCCAGTACAACTTGGCTTTTGATCCGTGACCACATTCACCAATTTTAGAGGGGCCATGAAGGTTTTGTCTGCATTCTATTGTAACCGCTTATTTTATGTTGTAATGTAAACCATATGTTCTCAATTATCATTTTAGCCACATATTTTAACTTTCTGCCGTGTATTTATATGACATATAACATAAGTATGTTCATTCAGATTTCCAGACTTTGTTCTTTCTCATCTGGCTCTCAAATTTGTTTTCTATTTCACCTTGCTATCAAAGCGTTTCTTCTTTCTTACTTTCACACCGGCAACGTGTTTGTCTCAAATCTCTTCATTCCTTACCACTTTTTTAAAAACACCAAAAAATGGCAGCATCTTCAAGCAATGGATATGATGATTCATTAGATGATTCACAAGATGATGCATTTGATGATGCAATTGATGATCAATTCGATGAGATGTTCGATCAGAAGTTTGAAGCCATGTTCAATTCTATGGTAAGCAGCAAGCTGAAAGAAAAAAAAAACTATTTATTGAAAGAGAGCGAGAAGAAGGTCACAAGCGGTTATGGAACGATTATTTTAGTGATGATGCAATTTATCCGTCACAAATATTCCGACGCCGTTTTAGAATGAACAAGGACTTGTTCCTGCGTATTGTTGACCGCCTCTCCAATGAAGTTCCGTATTTTCAACAAAGAAGAAATGCTATCGGAAGATTAGGTCTATTCGCTCTACAAAAGTGTACGGCAGCTATTCGTGTAATGGTGTACGGTACGGCAGCTGATGCAGTTGACGAATATTCTCCGGCTCGGGGCTAGTAAAACATTATTATGCTTAGAGAATTTCACTGAGGGCATAATATCCTTGTTCGGAGATGAGTATCTGAGAAGACCCACAGCTGATGACCTTCAACGGCTACTGAACATTGGAGAGGATCGGAGCTTTCCCGGGATGATAGGAAGCATTGATTGTATTCTCAAACTCTGGACCCTAAACCTAGAGGAGTGGCCAGCGTTTGGATTACACCTAGAAGAATTTGAGAGGAGTAAAGGGGTTTTCACTTTCTTCTCTATCTCCCTTATTGCACGAGCGAATAATATGAAGGCAGATCTCCTAGCACGCAGTGTTCGAGTCTACCCTCAAGACATGATCTATGTAAACTCAGTACCTCCAAACTGGACTTCTATGTCCTCGTAGGTACTTAGGCTGTTGACAAAAAAAAAACGAATGGCTATATTCGATACAATTTAGAAGAATTCGAACAAAAAGAAGGAAGCAGAAATTCTCATGTTGATAGGACGTATTCTACACGTATGCCTACAAATGTCTTAAATTTGATGATGGCAAAACGAAACGAAGTCCGTGACCGAGAAATACATGAACGCTTGAAAGAGGATTTAATCGAAAATATCTGGAATAAATTTGGTTAAGTTTTTTTTATATTTTAAATATTGTATATTTTTAAGATTAGGTGTAATAAATTATTGTATGTTTTAAGATTATGTGTAATAAATTATATTTTTATTATAATAAATATTTTTTTTTAATTAAAAAAATTATTATTTTAATTGGAATGAACGATTCACTACTGGAACCTGAATTTTACACGAGGTTCTTCACAAACTACACAAACCCAAAAAAATGTTTTTTTAATCGAATGAACTCTTCTATAGGAATCACCACTAGACGTGCGAAAATGAATAGAAAAAACAAAGCCCAGCCCAAAGTTTTGTCACAGCCCATATTTTTTTGGGATAGATTTATTTAGGAATCAGGATTTTTAGTGGTTATTTCTCTCTAGTTCTCTAGTATCGTGTTCAGATGGTGCTTCTCTTATTTGAGCCCTTTCATTCTTTATTTGGATATGCGTTTTATTTGTTTGGGTTTTTGTGTTCATTTTGACTTTTGTATTTTTTCGAATCGGATTCAAAAGTACAATAAAGACCAGATGACCAAAATATATAAATATCTATCTGATGCATAAAAAATGAAAATGGATTATAATATTGCTCGCTTGCATGTACATCATTTTCTTCATTGCTTTTAATCAATCAAACAAAAAAAACTGCATTTGCATATAATAGAGAGATCCAAGATGAAGATGATTGACCACCTACCCCATCACCTACTACTACTACTAAGGCATGATTCATGCAGTCAGGCATGAGAGGCTTGAAGAAACATATGACTTAATGAGACAGAAAATGAAAAGTGAGTTAATGAAGAATATCTGATCTCAATATCTCATTATTATGAAAGTGAAGTTGATTACAAAAAGAGCAGCGTGGGAGTGGAACAGTTTCAGATGTTGATAAAGACGTGACACAGTTGACAAAACTTATGTTGGTGCTAATCTAATCAGAGATTCCTCATGTTTTTATCTTTCTTCTTTTATAAAGTTGCATGAGATTTTATATCTGGAATTGGATAACAAAAACTGCTTTAATTAAGTAGTCTTATTATGATCAAAATATGCATTTTGTCAACAAAGGATCCAGTCTTTTTTGTTGTTTCCCATTTCAAACAGGATCTAGATTCCAGATGGTGTGACCACCTTAGAGATACACTCATATTCCAAGAATTTAAATATTTGCTTGCTTTGCAACTCCATTTGATTTGAAAAAAAAAAATCAGGATTTTTGGGCTAAGTCTCATCAAGCCAAATCAGATTAGGCCACAACAAATTTTCATCAAAGATTTGTTCGAAAATTCTTTTTATGATCTATGATCTCTTAAGAATTTTAACCGGACACAGACTATCGTCCCAAGAACAATACGATTTTATCTATACAAATTTAAATATTTTTTGGACACCAACCGGATCAAAGACCGGTTTGCTCCATTTAAAAAAAAAATAACAAAAAACTTCTTATCACTTTGTCCCACAACAGAGTCCATTGGGTCCTTTCTTCTTCCAAAAAAGTTGTCGTCTAGAAACCAAAACTATCTAAGATTCCTCCAACTTCCCCATTATCCACCATTGATTCACTCATCACATCTCTTCGGTGACTTTTCAACGGACAAGATTCAAGGAGTAGGGAACATCGCGTGAGTCACAATACAGAAAAGACTTCACCTTTATAAAAGAAAACATCTGGAAAATTGGCTTTGTTCTACCTAAACTTTACGAAAATGTTAAATTTATACCCGATCTTATATCGGGTGCTTAAACATGCTTCATCTTCTTAATAATTTGAATTTCATACCTAATCTTGTTTTTTCGTGCTTAAACCTACTCTCATCCTAACAGTGTTAAAGTTCTGTTAAATGTAGTCTATGTGGCATCTATGTAAGCGACAACATCGTTTTTAATTTCCAAATTCTGAGAGAAAAACACCTAAACGACGAATTTTACTACCGACCAAAACGACATCGTTTTAGTTAATTATTTTTTCTCCTTTCTCTTCAAACCTATCGACTTTCACACAGATAAACTATGGATTTCAAAATCCAGTTCTTAGGTAGGTAGATTCGGTGACGTTGTTGTGTAGATTTTGCTCCCTGGGATGTTGTTATTTTTTTTTGCCAGAAGCCAATCGGAGGTTGTGGATTCGTCTGAGCTACTGTTGTCGGCGCTGGTTTTTTAGTGTATGTTTGAGTGAAGTATCGTCCGGTAAGAACACATATGTCAGCGAGTTGAACTCAGGCGTTAGGGAGAATCGTTAAAGAAAACGCAAAGATGAAAAAATTGGTTACTACAGAGAGACTAGAAAGAAGAAAAAGAAGAAGCTGAAGATTGGGATTTTCATTTTCTGTAATGGAAGATTCATGTTATTGTTCATATTTCTCTTTTCTGATTTCTTTTTTTGTCCTCGTCTGAAAAAACTGTAGATTTTAAGAATTCTCTCTCGTTTTGACTTGAATTCGCTCCTCGAGAAATGGATTTCACACTAATTTATTGAATCCTTAATTATTTGTGGTTTGTCTTCGAAACAACATTATCGTCCCGAACCCTAAATCTGATTTCGACGGCTTTAGCTTAGTGATAGACTTGAGAGGAGAGAACTAAAATTTAGAAAGGAGAAAACTTATTGACTGATTTTGCTTGCATTTACAAGAATTGAAATCACTTGCCGAGATTGCCACTTACTTCAATTCGAAAGCTTGATTGTTCATTCTCACTGTTCTCTTTAGATTTTTTAGCCGTAAGATCTCAGAGTGAAGTGCTCTTTTTTAGCACCAATATTGAAACAATTATGCAAGAACAATGGCAGATTTTCCAATGACTGATTGAGTTTTGTAATCATTTTCTCTTACAGGAAAACCCAGACCTTAAATCTATGGGGTCTGGTACAACTACAATCCTTGATCAAGCGTTTCATCAGGAATTATTTTGTTCTTTTGTTTTATATCAATTTCCGATGAGCCAAACAACATTATTTGGGTTTTTTTTTTCTGAAACTAAGAAAGCCTAAAACACGAAGTTTCTTATGTGGATGCCACATAGACCAGACTTAACAGAATATTTAACAGCGTTTCGATGAAAATTGGTTTACGCACAAAAAACCAACTTTAAGGACGAAATTCAAATTAAAACAAAGATTGAGAATGAAATTTAAATGTTAATATAGAATAAGTATGTTAAAGCACCGTACAAAAGTTCTGGTATAGATTTAACATTTTCCGAAAGTTTGGGTAGAAAAAAGCCAAGTTTCTGAAAACATCTTTCTAAATATACAAAAGTCTTAATTCGAAATTTGAGCGTGCTAATAGTTTAATCAATTAAAGGGATAAAGAAAAGCAACTTTATAAAATCACTAGTACTCAGTAGATTTATACCATTCTTGTCCATCGCTTTTGAGTTTTTAACGTTTTTTTGCTTTCTGATAAAGATACAACTTTTGGCTACATCCGACGATAACCAATCAACCCCGTTTGAGTTAGAGAATCATAGCCGTTGATATGTTTGACTAAAGTGCTTACAAAATGGTCAATACACTCTTTACGCTACAAAGGAGCAGCCTTGAAACCCAAAGCCATCACCTTTCCCTTCTCTAACGGGTCTCTCTCTCTCTCTCTCACAGTGAAAAATGGGCATGGATGCTTTGAGAGTTCTAAACGTTTTCTTCTTCCTAGAGCTGATCCTCCACTGTCATTGTGGATCATCTCCCTCTGGTCCTTCTGATGTAAAGCTTCTTGTAGGGAAAATCAAGTCTTCACTGCAAGGAAACAGTGAGAGCTTACTCTTGTCTTCTTGGAACTCATCTGTTCCTGTTTGTCAATGGAGAGGGGTAAAATGGGTATTTTCAGATGGGTCTCCTCTTCAATGTAGCGACCTTTCTTCACCACAATGGACCAACGTCTCTCTCTTCAACGACTCTTCACTTCACCTTCTCTCTCTCCAGCTCCCTTCTGCTAATCTCACTGGCTCACTCCCTAGAGAGCTTGGTGAGTTCTCTATGCTTCAAAGCGTGTTCCTCAACATCAATTCCTTAACTGGGTCAATGCCTCTTGAACTTGGTTACTCTTCTTCCCTCACTGATGTTGATTTGAGCGGCAATGCCCTAACTGGTGCTTTGCCTCCATCGATTTGGAATCTCTGTGATAAGCTGGTCTCCCTCAAGATTCATGGTAATGCCTTGTTTGGGGATTTGCCTGAGCCTGCTTTGCCAAATTCAACTTGTAGTAATCTCCAAGTTCTTGATTTGGGTGGTAATAAGTTCTCAGGTGAGTTCCCTGAGTATATAACTAGGTTTAAAGGTCTAAAGTCACTTGATCTCTCAAGTAACGTCTTTGAAGGTCTTGTTCCTGAGGGTCTGGCTTTATTACAACTCGAAAGCCTCAACCTTTCTCACAATAACTTCAGTGGGATGTTGCCAAGTTTTGGCGAATCTAAGTTTGGTGCAGAATCTTTCGAAGGGAACAATCCTAGCCTTTGTGGTTTGCCTTTGAAACCATGTCTAGGCTCCTCTAGGTTGAGTCCTGGTGCTGTTGCTGGTCTGGTGATTGGTTTAATGTCAGGGGCTGTTGTTGTGGCCTCGTTGCTAATTGGATATCTGCAGAACAAGAAAAGGAAAAGTAGCATAGAGAGTGATGATGATCTTGAAGAAGGTGATGATGAAGAAGATGAAATCGATGGTGGTGGTGGTGAAGGGAAGTTAATTGTGTTCCAAGGTGGTGAGAATCTGACATTGGAAGAGGTTTTGAATGCAACGGGGCAAGTTATGGAGAAGACGAGCTATGGTACAGTGTATAAGGCAAAGCTTAATGATGGTGGGAATATTGCATTGAGGCTATTGAGAGAAGGTACTTGCAAGGATAGAAGCTCTTGCTTGCCGGTTATAAAGCAGTTGGGACGCATTAGGCACGAGAATTTGGTTCCGTTGAGAGCTTTCTATCAGGGAAAGAGAGGAGAAAAGCTTCTCATCTATGACTACATTCCAAACATAAGCTTACATGATCTGCTTCACGGTATTTGCTTTTCCATTGACCTCTCTTGCTTCTTTTTTAGTTATTCGTTGTGTTGTAATTTGTTTGTTTTGAATGATGTGCAGAGAGTAAACCAGGAAAGCCGGTTCTGAATTGGGCCAGGAGACACAAGATTGCGTTGGGAATAGCGAGAGGACTTGCTTATCTTCATACTGGACAAGAAGTTCCTATCGTCCATGGCAACATTAGATCAAAGAACGTGCTTGTGGACGATTTTTTCTTTGCTAGACTCACTGAGTTTGGTCTTGACAAGATAATGGTACAAGCAGTAGCTGATGAGATTGTCTCGCAGGCGAAATCAGAAGGGTACAAAGCACCTGAGCTCCACAAGATGAAGAAGTGTAATCCAAGAAGCGACGTTTACGCCTTTGGGATCCTTCTCTTGGAGATACTGATGGGTAAGAAACCGGGAAAGAGTGGGAAGAACAGTAGTGAGTTTGTGGACTTGCCTTCTTTGGTTAAAGCTGCTGTGTTGGAGGAGACAACAATGGAGGTTTTTGACTTGGAGGCAATGAAAGGGATTAGGAGCCCAATGGAAGAAGGTTTGGTTCATGCGTTGAAGCTAGCAATGGGATGTTGTGCTCCTGTTACAACGGTTAGACCCACCATGGAAGAGGTTGTGAAGCAATTGGAGGAAAACAGACCGAGGAATAGATCCGCATTGTATAGCCCGACAGAAACTAGAAGCGATGCTGAAACTCCATTTTAAGCTTTTCTTACTTTAGTTTGGCTATATGCATTTGTTTCATAGGCAAAAAACCGTTTCTGATTTTGATTTTTATCTATGTTTCTTTCTCCATGAGAATGGTGTAACAGAAGAAGTTAAAAAAAAGCGTTACATTGATAGAAGAATATATGATACAATGATAATACACCAAAAGTGTAATGAAGAATGCACTGTACTACAATTTGGATTCGAACAACACTGTGGCTCACGAAAGCTGGCCCAGGTTGACGAGTGGAAGCAGTGAGGAATCTAAGATGGTAATAGAGAAGAAAGAAAAAAAAAGAAGAGAAAACAATGATACGGGAACGAAGAAAACAAGTTCATTTTCTTCTTTGTTTCCCTTGGCTATTCAGTTATCTTCCTCGGTCTTGGTTTTGAAGATTATACAATTAGCTAACACCTCATACCGATCCTGCATTTAAGGGCACCTGAGCTGTAAGTAAGCATACCTACAATGGAAGATGGTTTAGCTCCCAAGCTAGAGGCTCTGGCATAGCTTGCAGGAGCAGCAGCTCCTGATTTAGTGAAGTAGGCACCGTTGAGCAATAGGTCTCCCTGCGATCTCCAGTTCCATCGCTTCCATTCTCCTTGCCATGAACCTACTCTCTTAGTCACCTGCCAAACCAATATGATAATCAGATCCATCCTTTCTCAATATTTCAAAAAAAGGCGTCTCTTTAAACATGATGATGTATACTAGCTTAGTTATACGTTTGAGAAGAAGATCTCAGAAATAGAAAGGTACCTCTTTGGCAAAAGGGTTTGCCGGGGCAAGGAATCGATTGCCTTGACTGTTGATGGTAGGGTTAGCACTTCCACCAATTGCATACATAACCCAGTGAGTGTAATCGTTGTTTACAACGTGGAAATAACCGTGCCTACACCTGAAAATAGCAGCAGAAAGAATCAGCAATCGTGATTCATATGCCAAACGATCAGAGGAAAATGGAGTAAGAACCTTGGCATTCTCTGTATAAGCCCCTCCCCAAAATGGTTGTATGCTATGGTCACTTGCATCACCTTATCTCTGGTGTAAGAATCACTATGCCCCATCAACATAACCTGCAATTACCCATCAAGAAAAATTCTTCTCAAACTCTTGAAGGTTCATAAGAAAAATGTTCTCAAAGCTGAGTTTCTCTGTAGTGGTTAGGCTAAGATCAAACGTAAAAAACATCCCCTTTACACACAACCTACGCAATCTAATGCACAATACTGACTAATTACGCAGCTAAATATGAAGTTTGGCTCCAAAAAGGTCAAGAAGAATGCGATTTCACAACAAATTCAACACTGTTTCCATTGTTCTTTCAATCTAGGATCAACCAATTTGGTAATGTAACGCAGCAGAGTAGACGAAGAATCTAACCTCATTGTGGTGAGTGAAATAGTTATTGGAGATTGTAATAGCAGTAGATCCCATAACCGCATCAACCAACCCATCGGCACAGTTTGACAAAGAATTATGATCAATCCAAATATGACTCGACCCGAAAATCGAGATCGCGTCTCCGTCCGCCATTGTTCTCCACCCGTAATGCGACGGCGAGCTTCTCACCATGGCGTTACCGGTCCGTCTACAATCATGGATATTAATCCCGTGGATGATGATGTTCGTCACGAACTGGATCGTGATACACGCGCCTCCTGCGATCGCGACGCTCACGCCTCTTCCGTCGATGGTCTTGAAGCTGTTCATGATCAGCTCCTGCTTCAGAGTGATCACCATGTCGCGCTTGAAGACGATCCATAAGGGACGATCCTGAATCACGGCGTGTCGAAGCGTTCCCGGTCTAGGGTTAACCGCGTCGTTGTCAGATGGATCGGTGACGACGTAGTAACGACCGTCGCGACCTCCGACTGCGTTACGACCGAAACCGATTGCGCAATTCGCAAGACGTTTTCGCCGGAGATGCCATTTCCGATCACATCGCCAACAGTCGTCGATTGGATTTCCGGTGGCGCAAGAGAAGAATCCTAACTTCCTCCGCTCCGTACTGTTCCTTATAGTCCTGCACGCGAAAATCAATTAGTTCAAAATTATAGAAAGAAGAGCTAAGTTTTTAAACTATTATCAGATTGACCCATGAAGTTTTTGATTTTAAAGAAAAGCCCTTGGATCACGAGGGAAGACTAAAGTGAAACAATTATTTGATGGAGGAGGGCCCAGTATTTTATATTACTACCAGATTGACCCATGAAGCTTTTAATTTTATATAGAAGCCCATGGATTCAACAAGATCACGTGGGGAGGACCAAAGAGAAAGATAGAGACTCATGTGGTGTAATAAATGTGACTGAAAAAATAATATTATACGGACTTCTGATACGGACAATACGGAAAATTTTAGATCATTCTTTTTTTCTTTTTTATACCTTTTCTATTTTTATGATGCTCTAAATAAATGTAGAAACTCAAGAATCAGATATTTATACACAAAAATGTGTATACATTAATTACATTTTGCGTCGGTGGAAAATAGCGACGACAGAGGCGCTTTAAATGGGGATCACGGCGTGTCTGTGTCACAACATATATACATATATAGTTGTATAAAAACCTTCTAGCTCATAAAGAGGTTTCTAAAATATAATATAGAGAAGAGACACTAACAATAACATTTATGGGTTGGGTTGAAACTCTTTTTAAATTATTAGAGGAAATTAATGTAAATTTATTAATTTTTTTAAGGAATGACAACGTTTGACTATCTGAAAACGTTATTAATATTTGATAGTGAGATGGAGAGAACGACGAAACATCCAATAAACACCCAATATCGATTCTTTTTTTTTTTTATAACTTTTGTTGAAGCTTTTAAAAACTAGTGTTAGATTAGAATCTTACATATCGACCATTGCAGCAACTTCTTCTGGGGTTTTAACGGCGTGTTCGTTCCATGCACCGTCACTTAACCTGAGAGAAACAGAGCATTCGAAACGACACCGTATAAGCATTCTTGAGCATAATCTGGACGGCTGAGATTGAGAAGGATGTAGACTACTCACTTATCAGCCATTGATGAATTAGTCGAGTTCTGAGACTTTAGCTCCTCTGTTTCGTGAGCTCTGTTTCACAAATTAAAATGCAGAGACAAAAGTTACTTCTTCAGCTTTCACAAGAACGAGATTTGTACAAAATATTTAAAACTATTTTGAGAATCTCCGAGCTTACATTGTCACACAGAGAAAGAATGATAGAATGATTAGTGATGCTGAGATAGCTAATAAACTTCTGGAGACCGCCATTGTTGGTTATATTGAAGCTCTCTCTCTCCTTTGTGTATAATGAAGAAGAATGAAGAAGGAGAGAAAGAAAGAGAGAGAGAGAGAGAGAGATGTAACTTGGAGAAGCTGAAGAGAGAAATCTGGTTATATATATATAAGCAAGCAACGAAGGTAGGAAGAAGCCACCTAACTCCGTTAACTATTATTGGATTCGACGTTAGGATTTCTCTCACGGCGGGGCTAACGGCGTTTCATAACTGTTCTTTTTTTTTTTTGTTCCGTGATATTAGATTGAATCATTGTTTGACTTCAAAACGTTATTTCTCCAGCCTTAACCGAATTAACTATTTTTTGGGAGTTAAATAACCACTTTGCACTTGTAGTTTGTTCTTACCGAATTCTATAACACTTCTTGAAATCTTTAAGTTGAATTTGGTTTTTATCAGAGCAAATATTATTTAATAATAGCTTAACATTTAACCGAAAACATATATATTATAATTATTTAATAATAGAAAAGCGTATATCATTTTCTTTGTTCTTAATCACTACTCAGCTTGTTGGTATCATTAAAAAAAAAAAACTATCCAATACCGCATTACCAACCTTTGCTACTTAGAAATTTTAAATTTCTTCATTTTAAGTTGGTATCAAACTTCCATCATTTTGAGTTTGATATTTAATTGTAAATTTCTGTACCACTACAAATTGTATATTTTGAATAATAAATAAATCATATACATAATTTTAAGGTTTTATGCCCCGTCGTTTCGGGTACTACAAATTGCATGGCAACCACGTCGAGTTCTTTTTCTTTAAAAAAAGAACCACGTCTAGTTTTATTCTTGGATATTATATAATGTTGGAACTTGGAAGAGAAGTCATTATAATATTTGCTAGTCTCAATTAAACCGTCGACTTGCGAAAATATGAGGTTAGGTACGTAACGTTTTTTAGTAGAGAGTTTTGACGTCGTGGTTATGGATAATCCGATAATGCCATGCATGAATTAATGTATATTTGCATGTTTAGCAGGGCTGCAAGTACAATGTATATACCCATATAAATGATAGAATATATTGACAAAGAAAGGGGATGGTGCCCAAACTTATTACAATAATCTAAAACATGTGACTAATTTGTCTACGGAAAGTCAATTTTAATGTATTAGTTCCAAGGTTTATAGGTTGTACAAGAACCGAATTCTACAATGAGTTCACGTTCGAACAGATAATTTATTCAAGGTTTAATGTGTTTTTTATTTATTTTTAATATGCCAAGTGCCAACCATAAATCTAACTCAAATATAAAATAAGAAATATATGCAATATGCCAATATCTAGTCTTATATGAACTACGAATGAAAAATGAAAGTATACATATGTAATGTAATCTTTGGTCGGATTCTTACCTTAGAGATTATAATATATACAGTTTAATTTTCCAAAAATTTATACAGTCAACGATTTAGTGGTGAATATCTATTATTTCTCTTCGCCCTTACATTTTAACTTTTCTCGATGAGTTTATGAATCTAAATGGAAATGACGGATAAACACGGTCCACTGGTTAATAACTTAGGATAGAACTGGAACTTATTTATGGTGTTTTTCTAACGAATGTCTAATTTGATGGATTGACGAAATAGAAAAAACAAATATAATGGTTTGACAAAAAAAAAAACCATAAAGTATAATCAAATGGAAAAATAAAATAAACATAGTAAGCGGTTCCAATCCTCTGATCACGACATAAAAAAACTATTGACTCGCCTCTTTAAAATGCTCCAGGCACCTTTATGCATTGTTATGTTTTCTTTATTTCTTATGAAGAGGATCGATAAGTTTGATTTATCTTGAGTCTTCTTCATGTTCTGATGATTAGACTATTACAATATGAGAATGTAAATGCAAATAGAAACCGACCTTAATATATATTGGAGGTGAAAACCACACTTCCGGTTTTCTTCGGTACAAACTAAAATCGACATAATTAAATCTAGTTAACGATGGTGAAATATCGAGGAAAACGGGCCGGATGAACTTCCGGACTGACCTAGGCCCATAAGCATAAAGTCGGTGGAAACCTCATAAAAGAATAAGAAAAGTTTCTACCTTCAAACTAGAAAAATGAAACTTTTTAAGATCCTATATCGGAAAAAAACCTTGTCGAAAACTAACTTAGATCACATATAAAATAGAGAAGAATCGATATCAAAGATGACACACAAGAATCCCGAAAGACCTAAAGATTAAGAGCTTAAAATATTCTGAACATTTTAATATTTCAGTACTAGTTCTTTTTTAACCAACTTATAAACGAATTCAGTTGTATTTATTCTGATTTAATAATAAAAAAACTAAATTTTGGTCTAAATTACTCTTTTACCCTCTTACAATAAAACTATATATATATATAAGCCAATTTGACATTAATTTGAACAACAACAAACAAAAAAAAAACAATTTGACTTCTTAAAGTTTAATTGATACACTCATACACACCATCATAAAGCCAATGCATCCATATGGGCACCGTACGAGTATTATCATCACTATTGTGGATAATTTTTTTGCTTCAAATCAGAAAAAGACAACTCATTATGGATAATTTTTTATAAGCGTAGTTATATAATACTAATATAACATAGATTAATTATACATCTTGTAAGCATATTATTTGTGCGGCTGGAAAAGAAAAAAAAAAACATAGTATATGTGCCCCATGTGCATTTACACTTGCTGATACTTGTGAGGGTTTTTCTCAAAGAAAAACGTAATCGCATATACGATGTAAATAACTTTTAAAATGAAAAAAGAAATGCAATGGAATGGTTACAATTACATACAAATCATAGATCCTGAGAAGAATGTACTTGAAATTTCGATTTGAGAGACATCTATGCACTTTATGTGAATAAAAATACTTATAAATTACGTTCATACAAAATTATATTATATGGAAATAGTGGGAAGTTTAAGGAGGGCAATACTCGAAGCACATTTGTTTTGGCATTGACTTTTGGCACATAAGACAAGCCACATGGCTGGCCGGTTATCACCGTTAATCAAGACACATGAATATTACTTTGGTTAATTTTATTAGATAATCCACTTGATTAACTAGCTATTTAGCTGCAATTATTTTGTTTGAATAACGCAACCCAATCGACCACTTAACTAAAATACACGTTTTCTAAAATGATATAAAATTGTAATGTGATCTCCAAGTGTTGCAATTGGGTTTGAGCCATGGACTATGGATAGAACTGGACATATGTTACATATCGTAAGTCCATATATCTAAGCTAAGTTCTGATATTGTCAAAGAAGTTAATGTTTCAAAAGTCAAAACCAATTGAGTTTCAAATAAATATAACCAAATTGAAAGTGTGGTTGTTGCAAATGCAACTTGGTGGTGATACGATCAGTGACAACCTAACACGACTCCATTGGTTTGGTCAAATACCTCATGTAACTAGCCAATTCATTCGTATCTATTATTATTTCCATTGGCAATCATATTTGAGACTTAAGGCAAATTTTAGAGACTTAAGAGACTTAAGGCAAATTTTAAAAATACATATACATTATAATATTTTAACAATAATGATATAAATTATATTAAAAATTATAAATAAATTTTAAGTTTTTTGAAAAATCTCTTAGATAAATGTTATATATCTTTTTCTTCTACAAACAATAAATTCTTAAAAACTTAAGAAAGAATTAAACTTATAGCATAGAAAAACAAAAATAGAAAACTGTTCTTAAAAATAATTATTAAAATCATTCAAATTTTAGTTAGAATATAAAATTAATTAAAAAAGTAGCTATTGTAAGCGGAAATGAGGCTTGAATAGCTGAATTCATGTGCATATCAAATTAGGAGGAGACATTAACCACTACAACATAAAAGATATTTTGTATTTAAGGGCCCTAAAATTAATTATATTATTTGGAGGCTTGAGGCAAATGCCTTTTTCAATACACTATAAGCACGGCTTTGTTGATTGCTCGGTTAAACGACTACAGCCATTAATTAATCCGTCACTAGATTCTAATTTCAACGGAATGTATTTAAATTGTGAAGGTGAGAACTCTCTCTCTCTTGTATACTGATGAACCACTATAGACAATTATAGTGTATAAATAGCTAGACCATAATTCTAGGCAAATTGGCCGATTCATACCTCGACTTTCCCAAATGGTGCAAAAACATACCTGAGAAATTTAATTGCCCGAATTCATACATGAACTCTTTAAAACCGGACATTTCATAAATGCACTAATAAGATTTTGGTGAATGTATACATTGACCCGTTTCCCGTTAGTCAACGGTCTCATTCCGTTAACGGAGAATAATCTTGTGCCACGTCGACTGTACTGTTGACACCGGAACATAAAACGATGTCGTTTAACTTTTTTTTGTTCATATTTATCAAAACAACGTCGTTTTGTTTATTTTTTTGTTCGCTATAATCAAAACGACGTCGTTTTGATTATTGCGAACAAAAAAAAAATTAAGTAAAACGATATTGCTGTTAAAAAAGAAAACATAAAGAAGAGGTCTTCTTCTTCCCCGAGCTTGACGACGTGACGAAATTAGGGGAGAACAGCTAAGGTTTAACGATAATAGCGAAGACAAAGCAGAATGAGTAAATCATTGAATCACAATGCTTCCTCAGCGAATTCAGGTAATAATCCTCTCAAAATACATCTCGCCAGGTCATAATTCGAGAATTCGGGTAAATTTTGGTTCATAACTTAATGAATTTTGTTGGGGAAACTTCAGGGTCGAGTGTGAGCATGAGGCGTGGTGTTCGTGTAGGAGACAGAGGCTTTTCGATTTCATGTAGGTGTGGAGAATTTGCTGTGATAAGAACCTCCGGCAAATCTAAAAGTCCAGGAAGGATGTTCCATTGTTGTCCAAAAGGATCTGACACGGTAAACATTGATATGAATTAGTGGTGTTAAGAATTTCCAATTTATTTAGCTAAGAACAATCTTCTAGGAGCTGTTTAGTAACGCTTTTATTATGTTGAAGGACAAAAATCATT